AATAAATTAACACCTAGGCTAGTTGTCTGTACGATTGTTGTAACACTGTTCAACCAAAAACAATGCCCCGACGGCGTTTTGAATATATACAATTTGTCAATCATTTGTGAAAATTTCAAAACAAAAGGTCAAAGCGTCTAGGAGTTATTTTTTTCAAAATTCTGAGAGGTGCACTAAAAAGAAGCTGAGATAATTGCTAATTTGCGTAACAATTTACTCAGTAAGAAGTTTGTTAATGCTTATAATTAAAATGGCTGTAACAGTTCCAAATTTAAATGTATTATCGTTTTGTAAAAAGTTAAATATAGTGCATAATATGGAGATCCCGTCATTTCTTTTTTTCACCATGTTTCTTATTTATTCTTTATTATTTATGTACAGCCTTGCTAAATCTTGCTAAGCATTCAAAAAAGAGAATGTTTGCACCTGTTATCTATATTTTAAAATCGTCTTTTGAGTATGTTCCACTATTCACAATTCTACAAAATCTATAGCCAAGACTGTTTGGATAATAAAAAGCAAAAAAAAAAATCACTCCCAAGTGCCCACAAACCTGCTTCTCTACCTTAAGCAGAGGGAAAACTGAAGACTATAATGGCAAGACATAATGTCTAGAATATTGTACGTAGTATAAAGACAGTATGAGAAATCAAATATTTGGACGAGAATGGCTGTAAAAAATACAACTAAACTGGCATAAACTCAATGAGAATTACATCTTGTACCAAACAAAGTAAGTATGCCACCTCAACTGAAGTAAGTTTAAAACCCGTGCTAGATAAATTTTCTGACATTTTCCAAGACGAACTAGAAATCATGAAAAAGGATAAAAGCAAAATGAGTGGTTATGGAAAATGCCCAGCCTAAATTTTGTAAACTAAGGCAATTATCATATGCAACCATAAAGGAAATTGTCTCTAAGATCAATTCATGAACGGACATTTTCAAAAGTACCAGTCGTGGAAAAGAATGGGACAGCACGTATCTGTGGTGACTACTGTATCTCCTGATTTACAACTTAATCAATACCCATTGCCCAGAATCGAAGATATATTTTCTGAGCTTGCTGGTGGTCAAAAGTTCAGGCAAATTAATTCACATCAAGCATACCATCAAATGGAATTGGATGATTAATCGGAAGAAATTTTTCACTATTAACACGTCGAAGGAACTGTACAGACGCAATCGTCTAGTATTTGGCATTGCCTCAGCACCAGCAATTTGGTAGCGTTCCATCGAACATATTCTACAAGATCGTACAAATCGTACAAAATGCATAATATTTGACATGGTCATTACAGACAAAGCTGACAATTTTGCTAATATTGAAGGTGTGCGATTATAGAAACGACTATAGAAACAATAGTCCACGAGCTTAATCTTAATGTAAATTCTTCCAAGATAACATTGAGTACTGTTCACTCATCATTGTCAAAGATGGACTCCATATGAGAAGGGAAAACCAAATCTCAGTGAACTGAAAAATGTGAGAACGTGTTCATGAGAACAAAAACGTCAATAACTTCCACAAAGTACCACTACGACCAGACCTACCAATTCAAATCACATGTGATGGAAAATGGAAGTGAAAGACCTACCTCCCATGCACCCAAGTTTCTATTAAAATCGGGGCGGAATTGAGAAGGAATCCCTTGCTATACTGTGGGATGTGAAAACGTTCAACACACATTAAACCGGACACAAATTCATTCTATTACCCGATCATCAATTGGCTTGCTTGCCGGTGATTGGAGGAAGTTAGCACTTGTGTCAAAAAATACGACATGAACTCTAAATTAGAAGTCATTTTTCACATCTCATTGAACTGTTTTTAAAGCTGATTCGCCCCTATTGCGCAACTTCCAGGTCGGTAAATATGAGCAAACCAAGCCCTCGAACGTCACGAAGTTGCACCCACAGACCAATCATGACCTCTGAACTAAACCAATCAAATACACGAAACAGTCTTGCATAAACTTTCGTTTTCGATGTTTATTATGTGAATTATCTGACATGCCTACTTTGCATTGCAGTGTTAGTTTAATGTTTTAGAACAGAAATTATCAAAAGTACGAAAGGTAGGCTGTATCGCAGAGGGGTCAGAGCTTCACCAGAAATAGATGACATAGTAACCCAGGAAATATTGAACAGTGGTGACCCAATAATCGGACGTTTGGGGAATTTTCACACTATGGTACCGTGACAACTTTAAAATGTCTGTGCCCTGACGTTCGCAAGATATGGGGACGATTCATTGAAGGAGATCAAAACGTTACAAAAAAGTTTTTATGGAAACGATGAAACGACAACAACCGTCAATTACATATCAATTTATGAAATACAAAATAGACGAATATGGCAAGGTCCTCGGCGTTGGGTCTAAAAGCGCAATTACACAAACAGTGAGAACCAAACTTACTGGAGGTGCATGGACATCCAAAGGTTAACTTCGGTAGCACTGAACAAAATTACTATAGGTAATATTTCTCATTGCACACCATTGACCATTTGAAGATACACTTTTGACGAATATGCAGTAAGAGTCAGCAATGATATAAACCCGCACTTCGGTCATGCTCTCCAAAGAGAGCTCGCAGTCAGAATACAACGCTACACAAAATCGGCGTGCGTAACTGTGCACCTTCTGTCCAACGGTACAACATATACTTACCAGTTTCTCAGAGGCCAACGAAAACATTAAACCGCTAACCGAACTACCAGTGATGGAATATAATGACATCGTTGTAACGGGTAACCACCAAACACATCTAAAAAAGGTGGTCGCCACCTCGGTCAGTGGTTGGAAAACATGGGAACCGGCATGGTGTATACTCCTTATTATTCACCTGAACTGAATCCGGCAGAGTTTGTTTCCGGAAAAATACGCATATATTGTCTTCCCAGCGAACTCATTCGACGCGACTTGCATCTTGCCTTGATGGAAGCACACAGAAAAATTACATCAAAAGATGTATTTGGGTACTACCTATGTGTCAGTTCCATGGATTTGTTACTGAATCACCCCAAGGCAAATGACAATAGATTATGTATGTAAAAACTCACTGCACATGACAATATTCATTAAAATTGTGGCCTCGAAAGAATTTTAAACTTATTTTAGTTTTGTTTTATCACATTGCGAAACGAAACGAAACCCTAACCCGCATTTTGTTTTCATTGGCCTAATAATATGAGGAAATTTCACACTGTGAAACACGAAATGAATAGAGCCATCAGTATTCAACAATTGCAAAATGGCTGTCACGTCATGTCAACACAAATGAATCGAGCTGAAAAGTAGGCGGGAAAAGGTTTGAAAACTAAATATTCTCGACAAATTTATTTCTGTGACGTGGCGATGTTTGAAGTTGTTCAACATTTAAGGTTAGGGTTAGGGTTTCGTTTCGTTTCGTGGAAAGACTAAACAAGCAGTGACCCATTGTTTATGGTAGACAAGTCAATGTCATTGAACTTCAACATACAACCACAGAATCGTGTTCGTTGCAAAGAGTTTGTTTGCAAATTAAGTCCACCTTATTTTTCATTCTTCATACACCTATTAGATTTTCAGTTACAGCAAGTCCTCCATTTCCTGCCTATAGTCTTGTTCAAATTCTAAGCTATTCGTCTTGGTCTTTTTCCACAGTGACCGAATGTGTCAGTCGACATTTCGCCAACGTTTATATTACAGTATAGTCATCCATGAATTGTGTAATACCGATACATGTATTTACCATGGATTCAGTGGCTTCTGGCAAAGTAACATTTTCAGAGGTCTATTACTTTTCTCTTGTTTTGCACTTGAATGTGTTTTTGTTCATTTGCTCACAGATTCATTTGCTCACAAATTCACATATTGATGTAAATCAATCAGTTACCCGGAAGTCTTCTTGTAACATCGTTTCTAGTTTTCTACTGTCCGTATTGACTTCCAACTATATTACCTGACCCCCAGTTGTCGGATATATCCGTGTCACTGGCAATAAGTCGTCTTATTTTTGCAGCAAATATTATCCCAATACAGTTATGATAAAACAAAAGAGTTCATATCAGCAATACAATAGTACACTGTCACTAAACACAAAGAGACGCTGGATACAAACACCAGTGGGGTCCTTCATTTGTGTACATCGCTGAAATGCACATATACGCTTTTTCATTTCACTGAACATTCTCGGCCAATAAAATGTCTCTCTAGTGAGGTTAATTGCTCTGTCCTGTTCTATCCACATTGGTCGTGTACTCCCCTCATTGTCTCCTTCTGAAACAATTGTGGCAACACTAAATGGTAATATTCACTTTCATCTACAGCAACACCTAGTCTACACAATACGTCATTTCCAAAACATAATCTGTCCCATTCCCTCAAGGCTATTTGTAATTTTGCACTTACCTGTGAATGCTGTCAGTGCATTAGAGAAGCACCTTTACGTTCCAAAAGCCATATATGCTGAATGTCATAATCAAGTTCTTGCATAGTCTATCCAGGCGCAGCAAGTATCAAGGGATAGCTGTCGCCACATACGCCAGTGAATAGTAGCACAGAGACACAGGGGGAGAATGGCGAGACCACTTCTGGAATTTCAAGAAAAAAGAAAAATAAGAGAAGGAAAGATACAAATAATCCTTCTTGGAGTGGGAATAAATCATCTGGGACTCCTATATCGAGCGCAAGATATTTACATACACCTAACTCCCCCACCCGGTAGGTAACTCCCCCACGCCTACATGACAATTAATCAAAACAACGGACCAGGGCTTCAGATTGTCAAATATTCATCAAACAATCATGTTCTAATCATTGTTGATATTGGGCACTTTATTATTTCATGCATATATATGCTCGTTCATTTAATACATTCTATTTTGAACGTTTCACGATAATAATAAACCTAGTTGATACAAATATTTAAAAACGCCCCTAAAATATAATGATATTACCTAATTTATCCTCGTGAGAACAGTTTAGTTTTGAATACAGTTTCCGATTTTGAACAATTATGGCTATTATGTCAAAACGTTTAGACGAAGGCACTGAGATGGATATTATTCGCCTGTTGAATATCAACGACGAAGGAAGTTGGTCTAGCGACGGCAAAGAGATTGTGTGGCATTTCTGTCAGATAATGATTTGGAAAGAAATACTGGCAAAGAGAATGCAAGTGAAAATCAGAGAAAAGCCCCTGCACATGACAGTATTTCTGATGATGCTGATTCATCATACATATTATCGCCATTCCAAACATCCCTAGTGAATTCCTCACCAGGGAGTGAAATTGGTGGTTTTTCGGCTGAAGATGAAGAAATGTCACAACAATTACAGAAGATGAAAGTATTAGGGTAGATGATGATAGACAATGCTGAAAAAACGCCATTCACATCCCTTCACTGGTAACACACCTGGTTTCCAGCATTGATTTGGGGGAAGGAGCGCACATCCCATTGATAGTTCCTACATTTTTCCAAGATCTCCCGTGAGAAGATTATAGAAAGGAACCAACAGCTATGCTACCTGATGCATCACTGAGAATGGAGAGGATATATTATGATCTCCTGTGCACTGATTTGTAAAATTGCCACCATGGGCGTTGATTCTAAACCAGAAATAGCAGATCACATGTCCACCTACCAAGGAATAAGAAATTACTACTATGCCAACATCGTGAGCCACAATAAGTACCACAACCCAGAAAATGACCCAATGAATATAGTCATTGATGAATAACGCTGGATGCTGTCTTCATCCTTGGGATGTTAAAACATGCATCTTTAAATTTCCATAGATGAGTCCATTGTTGGCTACAAGGGCCATTGTGGAGGAGTGCGTACAGTTTTTTATCCAAAGAAAACCCTATGTCAAAAGATTCAAAATGTGAAATTTTGAACTTGGATTATAGCAAAATTGTATATAACTACATGATTGACATCATGTCAATAACTGGTAGCTATGAGCAGTTTAGTAGGGATGTTTTCAGAACAAGAGACCTGATTCCATTATATCCTGTACACTGACAGTTATTATACCAGTCTATACATGGTGAATATGTGGTAAGCAGCGTGAGGTGAGTTAGAGTAGGAATCCCCAATGCCCTCTATACCAACCCCTAAAAAGGCAATAATGAAGCTGGACAGGTGACAGTTTGTAATCAAGACAAAAGGATACATTGATTGCTATATCATGAAAGGACTCGAACTAACTGAATATTCTGACAACATACGATGAGGGCTAAAGAACCCAGAACCAAAGACGTAACCTGTGCTCACAAGATATTGACAGGAAAGTAGCATACTCTCCCTCTGCCCAAGAAGCTATTGATGACTACAATCTGTACATGGATAGAGTCAAATAAATGATGGAAGTTCATCTTTTTCGACCTTCTGGATACTGCTATATGCAACAGTTGGACCTTTTACAAAGAATCAGTGGATCCAAATAAAATGACAAGGCCTTCCGAATTGAAGTTGGCAAGTCACTGGTTGGTGGGTTTTCATCCTTAAAGCAGCAGACCAGAAATTCTGAACCTGTCATCAGCTCATTTATGAACCACAGTTTAATTTAGTTTGGTGCCCCTGGCACATCCTGCAGATGGTGCATTCAGTTAGTGTCAGCATCCTTTATACTATGTTTCTGTCATATTACCTCAAACCCTGAAAATAGAAGTGTGCATGGAAACATTGGAAGAAACGATCCACACTACCATGTGATAAATGTCATAATGGTGATTGACAGGCCATACATATGCGTGCGATTTACATAACAAAGCATGTTTACAACTGTGGTAGGACAATTGGAATCTACCAGGTGTGCGTGTGATTTACAAAACAAAAGATGTATATGGTCTAGTGAGTTGCCACATTCTGATTGGCTCATGTGGAAACCCAGGTGGTGTATTGATGCTGGAATATTGCGAGACAAGTGATACAAGCTTCAATCATCATTCTATCAGCGGTGCCCTCCAGAATAACAGCGTTCTTCTATAAGCAAGCCCCTGTATTTCAGCGTTGTTGTTTTGCAGAAGTCTTTGACTGTCATCAATTTCCACATCCTGGAACTGTGAGTTATCACCAATGCACATTTCCGTAGACAATCCCCTATTTTAGTAAATAATTCATTATATTTTTCTGTGCTTTGTTTCTTGTAATTATTTTGAGGATTAAAGTATTAAAGCCAAGAGCTTTAACTTGATATTTTGGTGTATATTTATTTCATTTCCAGTACTATTGTTTTGTCTAACCTATTCTAGCAGTGACAGAACCCCCTCTTCAGTGTGAGTTCTGTGCGTGGCCGTCTCAATAGCAATAAGCATGCTTTACACTGTGACAGTTGGGGAGAAAAACAAGAAGAGGTTGCCCTTTATCCACAGTGTTAAGATGTCAGGAGTTTAGCATCAACCTATAAAAACAATGTTTCCTGCCCTACCATCATGTGGCCAAAGGATGCCCAAACAGACCCAAGAAAATACAGACTAATGACGATGATCTTGATAAGTCTGGAAAATGGGAACACGGGAACATGACAGAGGTGATAATATAGCAGCCAGAGACGGGAGAGAAGGTGGTAGAGTAGGAACAAGTAGGAATAAGAGGAGGAAACAGGAGAGGCTAAAGAACAGACCATGGACTATTTGGGCCCTGGCTGGGGAGTCTTGATAGGGGGCTGGGAAACAAAACAACAAGACATGTACATGTAAGTTGGCCAAGATATATATTATACTTTACACTATACTATTGTAGAGGCCCTGCAGTACTGTGTTTTACTGGTAATTAGATGTCATAATGTAGATAGCCATATCTACCAAGTACTAATCCAAGCAGTGTATGCTGACCCACAATGAACTTGTGTATGTCAGTCAGTCAGCTATATTTAGTTGAGGGCCTGGCAACACTGCCTGGGCATACCTTAGTAGTTTGGAGCGGGAAAATATCATACGTTTGTAGTATCGGCTACTCCTACCTATGGTAATTAGGGCCAGTCAAGCAGCATATTTTAGTAGTGGACAAAAACTAAAAGGCGTTTTACAGCTGACCAAATTGTGTGTTTTAGCAGTGTAGGTACCCAATTGCATAGGGTCAGTCAAGTAGTTGCCAAATACTAAAGATTGCACACAGCTGGCCAAACTGTCATTTATATTAGTACAGGCTTCCCGCAACTTATACTATGGTAATTAGAATCAGCCAAGTATCGTGTTTTCATAGTATCAGTTTCTACCAAGCATTAACAATCAATTGACCTTGTCATCCAATGAGTATATTTATGTCGGGCAGGAGGCTGCCAAACTACTTGGACATACATGTATCACTGGCTACATGAGAATACCACTCCGGAGGCCCAAAAGGAAATACCTAGGGAGAAATTGAATTAATAGACCTTCACGATTTGGTGAGACGCCTACAAGAAAGGACCCAAAAGAAATTAATATTCACATCAAAAAGAAGCACGCTTGCAGATGATCGCCAACCACTAAGAAGTCTACAAAATTTACAGTGTTTGCACAACCTGTCGCATGTAGTAACTATACAAGGAAGCAGAAATCAAATCTTGCATAAAAGTGTCAACGAAATACGAAGTGGTCAACACTCAGGATACCAATTTATCGAGACACAACAATGCGAACTGAAACACAATGTTCAAACACAACCCACTAAAATACCTCACAGAATACCTTCAACCAAATGCTACATAAAATCGAAATTGTCAAATTTTGAATACTCAAAAGGCTCAGTTTTTTCCACAAAACGAAACTCTAAACCTAACCTTAAATTTTGAACGACTTCAAACATCGCCACGTCACAGAAATAAATCGAGAATATTTAGTTTCCACCTCTTTTCCGCCTACTCTGCAGCTTGATTCATTTGTGCTGACATGACGTGACAGCTATTTTGGAATTGTTGAACACTGATGGCGCTATTCTGTACGTGTTTCACAGTGTGAAATTTTCTCAGATATTATTAGGCCAATGAAAAAATGCGGGTTAGGGTTTCGTTTCGTGGAAAAGACTAAGCCTACTCAAAACCATTCACGTTGGGTGTCAATTATATTACCTTTCAATCTGAAGACAATGTCCCAGGGATAGCGAAAAAGAAGACTGAAAATAGACAAAATAATCATATTATATGGTATGAATTCATAGGGCAAGACACTCAAAGGCAGGCAAATAATCAATGTATACATAAACAATGTATTAAGGTTCAATTAAGGTTAAGCTATTATACAATGGCAAGTTCGCGTAAGCAATACACGAGTTCATTCATGTGTGACAAATGGCACTAGACACATACGAACACTGCAGCTTTTCCCGGTGTTGCAATAAACTTGAATTCTAGCATAAAACGGATCACAGTCAG